GATTTGAACTGCTGACCTTTTGGTTAGCAGCTGAGCTCATAACCACTGCACCACCGGGGCTCCAAAGACTAGATGAAAGTCATTTGGAAAATTAACCCAAAAGTCATGCTCTAAGAAAATGGTTTATAAACATGAGAGGTTTTACTTGAAATCTTTCTTGATTGCTTTATAAATTATCTCAGCCAAAGGTAATAAAGTACAGGAGTTAAGAGAGTAGCCACTAAAGGTAGATTATCTGGATTCAAATCCTATCTAGCTGCTCAGTGGCTTTGTGGCTTCAGGCAAGTTACTTGGGCTCTCTGTGTATCAGAATCCTCATCTGACAAAAGGAGATAATGATAGTACCTCCTCGTAGCGGCATGGTAAGAATTAAATGCATTAACACATACAACTGCTTACTAAAGCAAGCATTCAGTAAGTGTTAGCTGCCATCATCATCATCATAACATATTTTATGGTCATCACTACATATAATTTGTCTTTTACTTAAGGATACTTCAATGAATACCCATTTACTCTGCTGATAAATTAATAAGTAATAAAATTTTAATAAGTAATAAAATTTTCCTATTCCCCTTAGGAACATATGGTCGCAATAGGGCTCGTATTTAAAACTTCCCATGACCAATTGCTTCCAATTTTACTTCAATTTAAACTTTTACCTTAATGAAAGACAAATATGTACCTCACTGGAAAATAACCAATTAACAGAGAGATCTGCAAGTTATTTAACTGACATTTTAATTATTTTATTGAAAAAAAAAAATCACTTAGTTGAACTTTATTATCGTGTAACAAATAAAATTCTAGAAAATACCGTATCATTTGTCTAAGTCTGATGAAAAGAGACAGAAAACAAAGAAGAAACAGAACTAGAAGAAAAAATTTCTAGTTTTTTGTATATGTAATGAATGCTTTTGATATTTCTTTTTGTTGGTTGGTTGCTTGCTTGCTTGGTTCTATTTGATTCCATTTGAATTCTGCATCAACACTATTTGACAAGCTTGTGGATCTCAGTAGCTTGATGACAACACTTTAAAAACATCTAAGTTCCTGTTCTCTTTGGAGATCACATTGGATCTACCAGTCGTGCCATATTAAAATGCCGTGTATCACCAGAGAAGACCCTGCCAAAGACTACCCACCTCACACAAGGCAGAGTTGGTAGGCAGATCAAATAATACGTAATAAAAGAGCTCTCCTAGTAATGGGCAATCCAAACTGACATCAGAATTGGAGCAGAGCTGTGCTGATATCACAAACTCAGCTCAATGCTCACTGCCCACTCAATTTGTCTAGACTGTCCCCACATCCTGGTGCCCCTAATGAGGTGGACCATAACCCCAGGTATTTTCCATATTTTCCTTTTTCTTAACACACCAAGTCACCTTTTCATTTCTGTTCGTAATATATTGAAAAATTCCCTGGGAAGACGTGTGTAAATATGTCCGTAAGAACGTGAGATGTAACACTATACCTCTGAAATTTTCAAAGAATGTAGTTTCATCTCTAAATGGCACTGATTCTGTATTAACATAGTTTTCTATCAAAAGAGCAGAATTTTTCAAAGCCTGCAAAACACTGAGCAAGCCAAAATTTTTTTTTTAAATACTACGTATATGTGCCTACGATTTTTAGTGTAATAAAATTAACATTTGTTAGGAGTTCATAATTCTTTCGGTCCATTTTAAGCCATATCTTTCTCATTTAGAATTTTTTAGTTGTAGTTAGAAATAATTTTCAGAAGTTTAAACATACAGTTCAACTGATTATTCTGAAATTTATGCATGTGGGAAAACTGCTTACTAGATCCTTCTTCGATAATGCAGATACTTAAATCATTTCCAAAGCAAATTTTCCAAAATCAAATAAATTGAAAAGCTAGAAATATTAGAGTCTCCGAGAAGGAGTTCCAATCTTCTGCCAAAACAGACCTCAAATTCTTAATTCCTTGTCCAAAAAAACTGGACAAAGTATTGACGTTTTCCACCAAGCAAGCCACATAGCCACAAATGTTTCTCATTTACTCCACTCCTGGGACATACAGCTCAAATAAAAAATTTCCTGAATACCCCAAATTTCAGGTGTAATTTTGAATCCAAGTGATTCATAACGCTATGCAGGAAACATTATGATCTTCTCTTACCAATTCAATGTTTCTGGCATTAGCCTGGAATGCAATCCTCAGGGGAGCACCCCAACCAATCAGAAGGCTGACGTGCTTTCAACCATATGCCTGACTATTATACTCTCTGTCCCTAGCTCCGGTGTGATCTTGATCCCTGAGCAATCTACTGTTCCAGCTACTGTTCAAGTAAGAAAGATGTTACCTCAGGGGAGCTAACAACGATCTCTGTTGTGTTTTATGACAAGAAACATGGTAATAGCGCACTCGACCTTCACACTCACCCCTGACAGGAAAGTGCAAAACAAGTGTTGAAAGAAATTAAAGACACTGTCATTACTTTTGCACCAAAAGACTCTTAGCCTCTAAACAAAGTTAGATTCTAATTAAATTTAAATGTGAATTTCACAGTCTCTAATTAATCTACATGAGTCCTATTCCAATCCTACCCCAATGCATTCCCACCCCCTCGCCATGAACTAAATAATAATTTATTGGACTAGCAAAGTTGCAACTGTCATCATTTATAGATATCTATTCTCTCTCAAGGGAAGAATCACAGTTGGCATAGAGGAAGAAAAGCAGTGCATTGAACACACTGACTCAATATGAAAACTGTAAGTCTTAGAAAACGTGGGTACTAAAAAAGAGAGAGAAGCATAGGTGCCTATGAAACAATGAACTAAATAAAGAGGACACAGAATAGCAAATGTGGATGGTAAAAGATTAAGATAAACACTTACTGATATAGTTTTCCTTTAACTAAAAGGATCATTATAAGCAAAAGTCAAAGCTGACTACATAACACCTTGAAAAGTTTTGGCAAATGACGAGAGCTATTAATTCTACAAGAGTAACAGCAAATAGGAAGAAATTTCTTAAACTAAAAGAATGTGGAGAAAAATCATTATTTAAGCCTAAAGAGAAAAACTCGTTTGCCTTAATTAAGTTTCATGGTTCTGTAGGCAATTTTTATATTAGCGACATTTTCAAAGAAGTACTTATATTGAGTTTGTAAATCATGGCGTAGCTTAAGATCCCATGAGATGAGTTTACCTCAGAATACAATATAAAAGAGTAAATAAATAAAACCAATGCCTACATGGGGGAAAAAAAAGGAAATAAGATCAGTTTAAATTTGTGGTTGGATTAATTCATGTCATGAATAAGCTGAAAAGTGGCTTGAATCTCTCTGGCTGCCCAAGAGTTCTATTTTTCATCCCAACACAGCCCTTTGATAAGAGTCGTCTCTCATTTAACTATACAAAAAAAGACAGTAATCACATTGACTTTCTACTACTTATTTGCCTTGAAAAAACTTAGTTAGCTGACAATACCAGGAAATGGAATATTCTAGATGACTGTGTTTTCTGGTTACTTTAAAACAATTTTGTTTATTTTCACTGTTGCTACTGTTGCTTTTATACTCAGAATTGAGTGAAATCAGCATTTAAAAAACAAACCAACCCACTGCCGTGAGTAGTTTCCAGCTCATAATGTCCCTATAGGACAGGACAGAACTGCCCCATAGGGTTTCCAAGACTGTAATCTTTACGGAAGCAGACTACCACATCTTTCTGCCGACCAGCAGCTGGTGGCTTCCGACCGCCAACCTTTCGGTTAGCAGCCGAGTGCTTAACCACTGCACCACCATACATCCCGAAATCAGCATAAGCTCAGCAAATTATTAAACTCTCACACTTATGAATAAATAATATGTATATTTAAGCTTCTAGAACAGTGCTTATGGTAGAAACTCAATGTTAGTTCTCTTATTTTTCCCTTTACCTCTTGCTACTGCCAATCATAGCTTTGCTTCCTCTTCAGCAGTTTACGATCTAGGAGGCTGGGCTTTTACGTGTGGTCAGTCAATTCTCTGCCAGAACATAAACCGAAAACCCCTTGCCCTCGAGTTGATTCCGACTCATAGTGACCCTACAGGACAGAGTAGAACTGCCCCATAGGGTTTCCAAGGATCAGCTGGTAGATTTGAACTGCCAACCTATTGGTTAGCAAGCAGCCAAGCTCTTAACCACTGCACCACCAGGGCTCCGCCAGAACATGTTTCTTTACTCTCTTGGTCATCTAATCAATTAATTTTAATTACAGACCAATCTATAAACTCCCTATTTGTTATCTTCTTGCCTTAGTTCCCACTGAGGGTTGAAGTTTGACTTATGGTTTGCATCAGAGTCAAACGTTATGTGCAGCACTATACTAGGATATCACTAGGGTTCAGAATCATGGTGACCCCATGTGTTCTGATTCAGAGTAGAACTGAGCTCCACAGGGTTTTCAATGGCAGTGATCTTTCAGAAATAGATTGCCACGCCTATCTTCTGAGGTGCCTCTGGGTGGACTTGAACCTCCAACCTTTTGGTTAGCAGCCAAACATTTAATTGTTTGCACCACTCAGGGGACTCCATACTAAGATACAGGGATACAGAATTCACTAAAACATGGTTCCCACCCTCTAGAAGCTCAAAGTCTAGTCATGGGGTACATATCCAAGCAAACTTTCTTCATGAAGCCTTTCCTAACCAATCACACAAAGCACAGACCATGAACCAAATGTACATCAATAAACATTTGCTGAATGAATTAAGACTACTTGAAAACAAGATCTGCCAAGGACAACAGCAGACTGTATAATTCATTCCCTCAAGAGTTCTCATAAAGGAGTAATCTGCTGTCAGTTTACAGCTAGGCTTGCCCCTTCCTGCATATGCTGCCTATATGAGATTTTCCTGCATTTATGAGTTAGTTACTGTTATTTGAAGTAGATCATAGGGAAATAAATTTAAAACAGGGAGTCCAGTTATAAATTAATTCACTCCCCTCAAAAGGCATAGTACAAAGAGGAAAATAAGCTCACTTGAATCGCAGCCAAGTTCTTCTGCTCCTGAGATGGTGCCTCATGAACGAAGCGAAGCCAGTTGGAGTGTCGTGGGTTGGTGGCATCCAAAATATACAGAACTTCTCCCTTACTCCCACGAACCTGAAACACAGAAGACTTCTGGGCTCACACTTGATGTCAGTATTAGCTATATTTAACATACCAAGGATAAGACATGGTATTTTTTTCAGAAGTGTATACCTTTTTTGTTGACAGGTGTTAACTAGATGTTGGAGTACCATGTACTCTTCCCTTAAACACAAACAGAGCCTACTATTTCCTTTGGCAGATATCTAGATGACACAACTTCAATCGATGCTCAGAAACATCCTGCGTTAATAGCTCTTTTCTGGTCAAAATTATTTCTCTTTGTATATGTATGTGTTCCAATCTCAGTTATTCAGAGGATAATCATAATTGCAAACCACATCCTTTTTTCCACAAAAAGGGTAGTGTTGCTTGCCTCCCAACTGAGGGGGAAAAGGGGATGTTGGAAAAATCTGTTAGTGAATTTAACTAATTTAACCAGTGGGAATCTGACATCATTGAGCCACCGTTTCACACTAGTGGATGAATGAAACAGGTTCCACTTTGTCTTTTCTTGACCTGCACATGGACTGCTGAGAAAGACAGTGGGCTCCACTTCCTGTCTTCATGACGCAAGCCTTCCTGGTCAGATCTATCCTACATTTAATTAGGGAGAAGAGGATAATTCCCAAAGGAGCAGGCAGACCCATCAGATTTAAATCTAAGTTGCTTGAACTCTAGGTCTTCAAAACCTCTGCATCATAGGTTACTGGGCACTTATCTAGTTTACTAAAGCGTATATACCAATCCCCATTCAACTATTTTTTTTGTTTATATTCAGTAAGAATTCCAGAGAAGTAGAAAGAAGAAATGAGTGTTTAGCACCCAAATCTCCAACAGCAAGTAACATAAATATAAAAAGTATAATCTTACCTGTGTAGTTTTGAGGTGGGGAAAAACAAAATCCAGAATTCCAAAATTTTATTTTATAAAATAAAGCACAACCAGCCCAATATATGTATTTTCAAGATACACTTAGACAATCATTCACTCACTCAACAAATATTTATTGAATGCCTACCATGTGCCAGGTACTACTTAAAAAACTAGGAATCTTTCAGTGAACAAGACAGATAAAGCCTCTGACCTCATCACACTTAAAAGAAATGAGTAAATATAGAACATAACTCCAGATAAAGATAAGGACTTTGGAAAGAACTAAAGCAGAGTAGGACGGAAGAGGGTGATGAAAAAGGACTGTGTTAGACGGGGTGGTTAGGCAAAGCCTCTCTGATGAGATGACCTAAGAAGTTTTAAATTAAAGGAGAGAATGAGCCAGTGGAAGGTTGCGGAAAGTGTTCCCAGGCAGAGGGAACAGCAAGTAAAAGGCAAGTAGAACAGTAGAAACAAATTAGACATATTCAGTGAAGAGCAAGAAGGCCGTGGTGGCTGGAACAGAAGGAGAAACAGAGAAACAGGTTAGCAGAGACCAGATCATGCAGTCATACAAACCAAGTATCCATCTATAGAGGTCAAGTTTCCCCAAAATTATTACAAAAACATCTGCTATATGCAATGCAAAGACTGCAGGAGGAAGATAGCCGGCTCCTATCGTCTCATATACTGACATATCTGACATACTTCTCAAACAATTCCTATTTTCTTAAATGCCCAAGGATCCTCAATGATCATTTTTTAAGTCTCCCTGATGAAATGCCAGACCCTCACTGGAAAGCAAGAATACTGCAGTTGCTAAAAGACGAACTTAGGACTATAAATACCTTATATTTGTATTTTGTATGCCTAGATGTGAATCTACGGGCATCTGCAACATCTGTCATTAAACAACAAACACACCGAGAAGATCTGGTTTGGGACGTGCTTGAACATTGTCCTGCTTTCCTGCTTAACCACGACTCAGAACCTTACTGCACGCTGGGCAAAGCCAAAAATGTCCAACAACACTGCTACGACAGATAGAAAGTACCGTCTGCACCTCTCCCGTCAGGAAGACACCAGTGCACATTGCTTGACGTACAGTAAACAATGTAAAATATTTGTGTATAAACCCCTTCCTTTCCATGTCCCTCCACAGCTACAGTGACATCACTCCTATTGATACTGACAAACAGGTAAATGAAACAGAGCGTGTACTAAATACTTGAGAGAAAAAATGTCCTCAAAGTAATTAAAATTTTAAGTCTTCAACTACTGTTGAAATCCACAACGCTCCAACTAATGTTACGGGGTTGGGCATTAATGGGTTTGCCCTCGACATACCTCAGTTCAGAGAGGGTAGCACTACTTACAGAGAAGAGTTTAGGGCCCTTTAAGTCATACATTTGTTACTCGGTACGAAGCACAACATACATCAGATGTGTTTGACATTTGGAATTCCTTCTTCAAAGCTGTGAAACATACGAAGGTTTCTCCGTGACTTACTATAGTAAAGCACATTTGGGTTTTAGGGGCATTGTTTGTTCTTTACGTGCTTCAGCTTTTTCCCAGGCCCTTCGGCTCCAACCAAGTTCAATTATTCAGTATTAGGAACTCATTTTCCTTTCTAGTCCATTACATGTGTGCACTTTCTGGCTGTCTATTACCTTTTCACACAATACTCAGGCTTCAGAGAACTGCATGATCTAATTTTACATTAAAATCCTTCTGAAATGTGTCCCTTTCAAATACATCCAAATTGACAAACCGATTTACTATTCCTTTTATTCTCATCACACTATTACAAGCAGCAATATACTACGTGTTGCCTACACATTCCTATTGTTTGTTCATTAACAAAGCCACTGCCAAACACCTTTTTTTACTCCAAACACCTTTGTAATTTCATCCCAAATGACTTTTACGTTCCTGTGCAGTGGTTTGCTGGCTACCTGTTTTCTCAAGCTTTCACGTGGCTGATCATTTCCTTCATGCCACCATCCCGGCCTTCAATGCTTTACTAAAGCTGTTAGATTACCTGCTTGCAGGGCTTTTATCTTCCCGTCCTAACCACAGCGTTCTCCTCACTGAAATAGCATCTAAAAAAGACATTCAAAAATAACCTAATCCATCCTTCTTCTTGCCAGCAAAACCTAACCCAAACAACTCCAGACAGACGGCCACTATTAAAGTCTCCATTTATCTGTTTTAATTAGATACTAAGCCCTGAGGTAATAAACTAAACATTTTAAAAATCTAATGCATAAAGAAAATTCAAAATTCCTTAGTGCCATCCATGCTCCAGCAACTCATCAACCACTGCAGCTAATGTGTTGTTTTTTTTTTCTGTCAAAACCAGTCTTCCAAATTCCATCTTCTTTATTTGAATTTTCATGGAAATGAAGTATATTGGGTTCTGTCCTACTTAGGATTGCCGCTTGCTTTCCTGGGGTCTGTAATGAAGTCAACATTCTCACCTCCTAGTAAAAATCATTCCAATTCCAAAACCTGTTTGATTTGCACAGGCTTCCTACACCAGTTTCACAAAAAGGGTTAGCTGGGAAAGGAAAGAAATCCTCATGTGAAAATGAAAACCTTCACACTTCAATATAGTTGGTCATATCTCTATGAATTTGCCACTTGAGGGTACTTGAAAATTCTCCGTGTTTAGGAACTTACCAGGTTCTAGCCTCTGTTAAATAGTACTTACAGCACTTTGAGTGTCTTGAGAGAAGGAATGTGCTAGTGATGACTACCAGGGATTTTTCCAGACTAACCATTAGCAGTACTGACTATAAGTCACAGTTTATTTTGTCTTTCCACCCTGAAAAGCACAGAGGAAACCACAAAAAGATTCAGCTCAATTACAGAAAACTCGAACATGTAAGTGGAAGACAAAACTGGAAATAAGTATTCAATACAAATCTTCTTGTCCTAAATTTACTTTTGGGGGGAGGAGCTAACTTATGACAACTATAAACAGAAAAGAAATTGATTTATTATTTGGGTGGTTCATTTTCACAGGAGAAGGGTCTACAATGTTACTTGATAATTTTCCTTCAATCATTTCAAACTCCTGAGAAATTTCCCACTCACTACATATATACCATCAGGGTTCCCAGAGCAAAGCTAATCAGCCAGACTTGTCTCCAGAAGTGGTAAAATATAACTGATTAATATAAGCTTATTTAACATATGGTAAAATTTAATGGGAGTGAAATATAGTCAGTTCCAAAAGAATAGCAATAATGTCCTTGATGAGAAGTCACAATGTGTTATGTTGTATGATTTATTTATTAAAGAAAATGTATTTCCTTTTCTGTCTTTCAACAGGCTTTCGGAAGAAGGTAGTTTTAAGCACTAAGATTTAGAGTATGATGTTTTTAGACTATAAAATAACATCATAATTTTATATTTAAATTACAAGCATTCTCTTTCTGCAATTGTTCTTAACTGAAGTAATGCCATATGCCATGCTTTCAGTGTTTAATTAACCAGACTTCCGGATATCTTTAGGAGCACAGAAAAGCAAATGTGTTGTAGTAGAGTCATCAATTCTGACAGCACACTGTTGTCAGATCTAAACCAGAGATAGACACTTTCAGAAATCAGCAAGGACCATCACTAAGAAACTGCAGTGATTTATAATTTCTAAGCAGAGAGTAGTTTGTTTGGATTTTTTTTTTCTGTTGATTTTTCAAAGAACTCTGTCTAAAATTTTTGCTTGCTTTTGTGCTTATAAACACACACACGCATGAGCACAAGAACACATACACACACACGCACACACACACATCGCTGCAGCTTATCTGCTTATATCTCCTGCCCTCCCTTTCTAACCTAGGACACTGTCTGATAATCCTGATCCATGGATTCCCCTGCCTTCACATAGGAAAGCAGACAGGCATTTACAGATCTGTGTCTCCTTATTGAATAGCATCCAGAACATAATATGGACAAAGTTAATACTTAAAAAGAATATGAGAGAAGTAAAGTCTGTTTTTGTTATTTTCGTTGATGTTGTTGGTTGCCATTGAGACGCTTCTGACACATGGGAACCCCAAATGTACAGAGCAGAATTGCTCCATAGGGTTTTCAAGGCTGTGACCTTTCAGAAGCAGATCACCAGACCTTTTTTCCA